TACGGTATGGTACAGCGCTAATCAGCGCTGACGCTATCTTTAGCGCAGGAGCAGCGAGGAGCAGCGCAGCGCAGCATTAGCGCAACAGTAGCGATCGAGCAGCAGCAGCGGCGACTGAGTGCACCGGCGGCCATAGCCGCCCGAGGTATCGGGAGTTGGAGGCCTCTCTGCTCCCTCCCCTCGCCAGTCCCCTCTGTCTCTCTCCTCCTCGGCTCCTACTTCTTCTTCTTCTTCTTCTTCTTCTTCTTCTTCTTCTTCTCTTCAGACTTCTTCTTCTTCTTCTTCTTCTTCTTCTTCTTCTTCTTCTTCTTCAGACCAGAGACCTATACTAGTTGGACAGAGATCAGTGTTGGACTTCGGTGGTATGAGACTGTGGTACTCACCGGATTGGAGACTTGGAGATCGTTGGGGTTGATACTTGGTGACATCACGGTTCAGACACCGGTTACATTTGGACTCTGTATCCCCGACATTGGTGACCTATGGTCCTCGACGTTTTGATCTTGTTGGATGACATTTTGGACTACCATATCGGTGACCTATCAGATTCTATCTCGGTGACTTTCGGTGCTGTCTACCTCCCCCCCCACCTCTTCGTCTCTCCTCCCCCATTCATCTGTGTATGTGTGTACGGGGCTGAGCATCTTCTATGTATGGCTCAGACCCCACCACCTCACGATTGCATGTGTGTGGAGTGATGCTATGTGAGTCAGTCTATGTGAGTCAGTCTATGTGAGTCAGTCCGTTCATTAGACTTCCGTTGCATATATGCTCATCCTACATTGGTTGATCCTTGGTTCTGCCCATACTCATTGGAGTATGTAACACAGCCATAACTACAATGGGTGTCGAGGTTCCCCGGAACTGTGTAGTAGCCTGAGGCTGTATAGGAACATTGGCTATGGTGCATGAAATCTGCACAGGCTGTGCAGACTGTATAGGAACAAAGGATGTAGTAATTGAAGTAGGAATAGAAGTAGGAGGCAGCTTTCCTGCCACCTCTGGGGGAATCTAGCTCTCTGATGGTTTCATATCCTAGTTGGGATCCCCTGCCCGTTCCCATATCCACCCTTTGGAAGCTTCACCCTTCTTGGTACTTTCCACATACACCCATCCCTCATGCCCTGCGTCGATTGTATGCCATAAACACGACTTGAAAGGGTCCATAATAAGTATGCCAGCATTCTGGTACCTCCTCCCCAGGTTCTGTGAGCAACTGGGGTCTGTGCTCATGTGACCATATGCTCTGCATCTAAAACACCACGACCTCAACTTATGAGCCATGTGAATATGGTATTCTTTTCCACCCACCCGGTAAGGGATGACATCGTCAATGTTAATGAAGTGTTGGAGGGATGACTGAGAGCAAGCATGAGGTAATCATCTCTTTGTGCCACATAAGCAGGAAGGGGATCCATGAAGTCCACAATTTCTTGGACATCTCCAAAATCCTGGACAAAAGCGGCCTGGATTTCTATTGGGATATGTCTGAACTCAACCCAAAAGGAATCTTCTATCCTCTGAGACCGCTTTTCATTCGGACCCTGCTTCAGCTGCGTCCAAGGATAAATACACAATTTTTTTAATGATTTTTTTTTTTTTTTGAAATGGGCCCAGTGCCCAAGGCTTTTTTTTTTTTTTTTTTTTTTTTTCCCAGGACATTGTACTCAGAGACAATACCAGCCTAACCGATATCCTCCATAGCTGTTCTGTTCTCACCGCATAGCAGCCCCCCCTGTTTGCCACTGAATTGCCTTCCTCCCTCGGCAAAACCCAGATCTCTCTACAAGGCCTCATGCCCCTGCCAATTTCAGGTTACAGGGCGACGCCCCAGCTCCGGCCAGCGTCGTTCTGGCATCAGCAAACCAGTGGCACAGAACAGAACAGCTCAGCTGACATCCGTCATGGTTTGACCATCTCTCAATCCTATGTCCCAGATGCAAAAGAATGCTAGATGCTGACCAAAGCCAGAACACCAGAATGCCTAATAAAACCTGCAGCAAATG